GAGAGAGAGAGAGAGAGAGAGAGAGAGAGAGAGATAGAGAGAAGGGGGAGAGGAGACAGAGAGAGATAGATAGAGAGAGAGAGAGAAAGAGAGAGCGAGAGCGACAGAGAGAGAGAGAGAGAGATAGCGAGAGAGCGAGAGAGCGAGAGAGAGAGAGAGAGAGCGAGATCAGGGAGTAGAGAGACCGGCTAGCACAGTGGTGTGGTCACCGTGTGCATGGATAATTGGCAGGTACACGCTGTATCACCTGACAAGTAGGCAGGCAGCCAGGTAGGCAGGCAGGCAGGTACACAGGCACTTGGAGCGTTTCAAGAAAAGATCATGCTAAACAAACACGAAATGTATTTACTACCAAAGTCAATTCCCTGTAAATGCCGCGCATGTGTCAGTGTGCGGCAGCGTGCGCGCGGTGTACATGTGTGTGTTGCAGAGGAGCATTTGCACGGCATTTACAGGAAACTGTCGGCAATAATAGGCGAAAGAGAGTAGAGAAACATTAAGACTTTGCTAGGAAATAGATTTCGTATTTATTTAGCATTTTATTTTATTGAAACGCTGCAAGTACCTGTGGGCGGGTAGATAACGTTATGGCTGGCTGGTGGGGTTGGTTGGTTACTCCCGGACCGTATCACGTTTGTTGCTCGTGTACACTGTACACAGTACTACACACAAGTAACCACTGATCTGCAGTAGCAGCAGTCGCATGCACGCACCATTACATCAAGAGCGCATAAAGAAGGCTCTTAGTGTATAAACAACCTTCTTTATACGCTCTTGATTACATGCAGTGCAGACAATACGGGCAGTGCAGCTAGTGCTGCAGGGTCTATGTCCCCCAGGGTACGGCCGGAACGTACCCTGGGTACGGTCCGGTATACCGGAACGTACCCTGGTCACTATCTGATATGGTTAGGGTTAGGGTTAGGGAGTAGGCGTAGGCGACTCCCTAGACTCGTTAGTGGAGTAGGCGAGGTACGGTGCGGCATATTATATAGTACCCGCAGAGCATATAAATCACGTTGATTTATATGCTCTGGTACCAGGGTACGTTCCGGCAGTACGCTGGGGGACATAGACCCTCTCAGCTAAAGTGCAGTGCAGCTAGTACAATATGTTACAGTTAGTAGACTGTAGTATAGTACAGGTAGCACATTATAATACAACTAGTACCGTATAACACAGATAGTACTGTACAGTACATTATAGTACAGCTATTACGGTATAACATAGCTCTAGAAAGTTCTATAGCCCTTCGCTCTGCCACAGGGCAGTGCCTGTGGCAGAGCGTGCCTGTGGCAGCCTGTGGCAGAGCGAAGGGCTATAGTTCTAGAGCTAGGTATAACACAGCTAGTACTGTACTGTACAGTACAGTACAGTACAGATAGTACCGTACAATACAGTACCGTATAGTATAGTACAGATAGTACCGTACAATACAGTACCGTACAGTATAGTACAGATAGTACCGTACAGTACAGTGCATCTAGTACAATATAGAGGTTAGCATTAGCTTACATACATAGTACAATATAGAGGTTAGCTTGACATTATCATTAGCTTACAGTCACTCTCGCTGTGCAGGCGGCTCCTCTGCAGGTGAAGTGATGATACTGCTACTACTAATACTACTACTACTTGTCGCGATGGGAGCTCGTTGCGATGTGCAAGCAGGCAGGTAGCCAGGTAGCCAGGTAGCGAGGGGAGAAAGTTCACTCACACGCGACGCGAGAGGGATATTCCGTGGGGGCGACCATGCTGAAAAGCTGCCTCCCCCCCCCCCGGCCCGAGGCAAGCGGGAGAGAGGGGGGAGAGAGAATGAGAGCGAGAGAGAGCGCACGCGCGAGAGAGAGAGACAGAGAGAGATAGAAAAAGAAGAAGAAGAAGAAGAAGAAGAGAGAGAGAGAGAGAGAGTGCGCGCGTGTGTGTGTGTGTGTGTGTGTGTG